AGAGATTACATTAATTGGTCATCCACCAAAGAATAAAAAGGATAAAAGTCTTCAGAATGAAATGAAACACAAACGTCAGTATCTCTAAAATACTGGTGCTGACAAGTAGATGTATCTTTCATCTGTCTGGGGAGCAGGATGGAGGGAGATTTGCGCAGCTGCACAATCAAGACCACTACGCACCAGCAAGCAGTGGTGGCAGGAGAAGTGAGTGGCAGGAGCCCATCTCACATCCCTGAAACTCCTGGTTCAAGTGTGCCCTTATTAACAAAGGGTGCGTTCACATCTCTTGCTACAGGCAGGCACAAGAAAATGCTGACTGCATTCCTGATCCAGCTGGGAACAGGAGTTACACCTATCTGAGTAAATTAAAGAATGCCCAAGAGTGAACCCAGGTGCTGGAGCTGGATCATCTGCTCTACTCAGGGTGGGAGGGTGCTCCTGGTGCATTTAAGTCCTATGCCAACTTCACCACAGAGTCCCCAGCACCCCATGGCAGTGCTGCAGGGACCACTCCCAGGGGGAGAATACCATGGGCTCATCCTGTTTTAGGGACTGAAAGAGTCATCGCTCCAGCTTGTTTCACACCACAGTACTCCTGATCATGTTTAATTTACTAGTGCAACTTTGGCCAAAGTCAGCTCTGAACCAGAACTCATGTAGCTGTACTTAGGCAGTGCTTGAGCCCAAGCTAATAAAACCTGCTGAGGGGCAGGATATATTAGCTCGGGTTCAGTGCTGTGTTAACATGGTTATACGGCTTCCAGATGGCTCAGAATTTAGGCAGACCTATTGCCTGCCAAGGTCCATATACATATCATTATAAATCCTATATTCCCCTACTCTAAGGATACTAATGAAGGTGAACTCACTTTTGATACTTTGTCTTGTAAATACCAGATGCACCAAGAGATAACCCAGCAGCACCTTCCAGAGCACTGATGGCTCTGGAGGCCATTAGGTACCAAGATTGACTGGGGGCAACCTTCAGATTAGATTTGATAACATAAGGTGAGGCCACAGCCAATGTAAAGTGTGCAGCCAACTACCTGAAGAATCAAGGGTGCTTCCACAGGTTGCTGTGGATTGAAAACAAGCCAGCCTCCCTCTGCAGTGTAGAGAAAGTGTGCACTTGTAGGACAAAGTGACCTTGCAAGGCCGAGGCTGAAAGAAGGAGAGGCTAAAAAAGAGAGAGTGTCTTTTAATGCCCTCCCCATTATCACTGGAGAAGGACCAGTCCTTCCTGCAGCATCTAGGATTAGGAGCCAAACACCTTTCCAGGTGATACATGTCTGAGTGCACCCATACAAATATGTGCTGGAGAGAGAATTTGCCTTCCCAAGGCTTCACATGTCTCAAGGAACCTATTTCTTTTGTTTCCCTTTGCTCTGGGGAAAAAAAGAAATATCTGAAGTAAGAGTCTCAAAGAGCAGAAAAGCCCAAAGAAACCTTACATAGGACTATTTGGTAACAGAAATCACCTTAGTCAGCTTGGGCTTCTCAAAGTTGCCACCAGTTTCTTCCCATCTGATGTGCAGCTGGATGGAAAATAATCGAGAACTGCAGTAATATAAGAAAAGGCACAAAACTGCATGGATGCAGGGGCTACCCAGGATGTTGTATCAAGAGCTGTGTATTTGAAACATCTTTCATTCTATAGATCAATAACCATCATTACACATTATCTGCCTCTCCAATTTTCTGTAAACAACACTAGGTTCTCTTCAGCAATGATATAAACAGCAAAAGGAATACTTTCACAGTTATTCATACTCTTTCAGTAAAAGCAATGTTTAAACTGTTGCTAATCCCCAATTATAAAAATATTAAATGTTAATACAAAGGTGCTGATTCACTGGAATATGTTTTAAGTCTTAGGAGACATATGTTATATATACAGGAAACGCATTGTGTGGAGCTTTTCAAATTGTTTCTGCATCTGCATTGATTTTGTGCTACAATTCATCTAACACTCGCACTTCCATCAGTGTGAAAATGATCACCTCTCATTTGAAACACTAAGGAGAGTTTTGGTGTCAAAAGGAGAGAATCAGCCAATAGGGGATGCTGCAAAATGTTGAGGAGACATTAAAAAAGAGAATAAAAAAAACCTGATCCTTAATTTACCACAGCCTCAGGGAAACAGTACATTATATGTTGACAGATTCCATATGTGTCATGCAAACCTTTATTCTTACTGTTCAGAATAAAATGTCCCATTAAGAGAAAAAGTCTACATTTCATGCTAAAATGGGATGTCTGATATCAAATACTGTCTTAAAGAAAAGAGAAAACACATTCCAATGTCATGTGGCTTTTTGTACTTTTTCATCATTTTCAAAGGGGAGAAAACATGAATTACAACAACTAGACGTTCTTCCAGATTTGTTTTTATCACAGTTGTATTAAATAGTCACAAATTCTTTTATTCCTCATGTAGACATTACTATTCCTATTATTATTATTAATACACCATATTCAGGGATGACCAAACAAATCTATCTACACAAGTAATTGCATGCAAAAAGTCACTGAAAGATAAGTTTAAGAAAGATTATTGTTAATGGTGGTGATAACAATATAGTAGAACCCTGGAGTCTCAGTAATTGGCAACCCCTTTCAAAGGTTTTGTATGAATAAATATAAAAATTAGTATGTGTTTACAGCACCTGAATACCTAAACCAGGGATCCTCTGACTTAACAGAATCCCATTTAGTTTAATGATCTGTTGCAATTGAAAGGTTAACAGATCAGGTCTTATCATAAATGTCTCTCCAGTTATGAGGGCATAACTCCTCTACCTCCCATGATCTCAGTGGACAGCTGGAGGCATGAAGAAATGTTCTTCAGTCCTGTATGGCCTAAAATTAATTTAAGCCAAGGGAAGGATTTTCGAGTGATCTGAGTCAGTCTCTGAGCTTTCATTGAAAACTGGTTGGAGGGAAGGTGAGTGGGGTTCTCTGGGTTACAGACTGAGTCCACTACATACAGAGTCATGTATAAAAATTCATGTTCTGTCTGTACACAAACATGTCATTCAATGGCTGGTGTTTCTCATAGCAGAAGTAACAGCAACCCAATAAAATAATCAGGCTTTAAGAGCAAAATTGTAAGAGCATGAAAGGATGACTTCCCTTATGCTAAGCTGAAGTGGTACAGCACAGGTCTTCCCTATAGTTTTGAAAGCATTAGTCCATAGAAGAGCACTCTTCTTGCATGAATAAACTGAAAAGGAAACAGAAAGTGAGGGAAGAGGGGAATTCCCTCCTCACTTGAGCAGCTGGGTTGAAAAATTCAGTGAGGTGCAGAAGGTAAAGCTGCTTGTGGCTTTGGAATTTAAAATAGAAAATTGACTATCACCTTTCTGATCTTGGGAGTAGGACAGGGGAAATATTTACATAAACTATTCTTTTACAATTTCTTCAGTGTAGTTTCCTTTTACCCATACAAACTTTTCTGCTGTTTACTGAATGAATATAATTTTGAAGCTAGAACCAACAAACTGCTGGTTCCAAAATTTCTTAATGATGCCTTTCATGGATATTTAATTTTCAAGAATTTCTGTATTTGAGTCTCCTGGAAAAAAAGTTAAGGATGAAGTTTATTCTGGAGCAGGAAATCTGGCAAGAAGCCAGTCCACCTAATTTGGATGCCTGATGGAGGAGTCACCTCTCCAGAATTTGAAGGGCTTAAAAATGCCCTCATAAAACCAGGCTGAAAGAGCTGCTCTGCATACAGCCTAAGGTCAGGTGTGGTGCTTTTGAAGGCTGCTTGAAAGCAGCAGCAACGTGATCTACTTTGCATTGCTGCCTCCCTTTCTCACTGACTGCAGTCTGAGAATCTAGGCAATATTAGGTGAAATGGTCATCTGCTCTGATTCAAGCCTGACAACTCCCTTTTTAAGCATCATGCTTAAAGGAGGGTAGTTTTTGCATAACTCTCCAGCAGGCAGGGCACTTGCTGAAAAAGTATGAGGCTTTGTTCACAGCCCAGCTGAGCCTGAGGGAGAATTCAGATCAAAAACAATGAGAAAATGTAGCCAGAACAAAGAAAGAAGAAAAAAATATTAATCCTTACACCAGGGTTTCTTCTGCTACTCATTAACATTATGTCAGCTAAGGTTTAAATTAAATAGCATCATAGATCCCTTGACCTTTGACACAAAAAGCTTTTTGACAAGAAAGAGCTAAATCTGAAAGTTTGCTTGTAAAGTAGTATGGATTAAGTGAACCATCACATAAAAAACAGTATATAAGTCTCTTTTTATTACTTTCTAAAGAAGTCTAAGTAAAGAACATTTCTTCTAAAAATATTATTTTGCATTGAGATGCATTTTCACTTTTTACTGCAGAGCATAACTGTGAATAATGTAGTAGCTCAGTAAATCTGTGCTAAAAAAACCCAGTTACTTCAGTTCTGACAGTGTTCTTTCTAATTTTTCATAAAAATCTTCAAGATTTCAAACCTTTAACCCATTTCAAGATAAAAAAATTAGAAATTCTTTTATTTTTTCTCCCAAATTATAGATAACCAATTCCCGCATTACTCCACTGTTAATCTTTCTCCAACAACAGTACCACTGGCCATGAGATCCCTCCTGAACTGTCCTGAGGTTTTTTTACAGCTTTGTCTGTGATTCAGCCCAAAAGTTATTTGAAACTTTTTAAATCAAAAATTCTGCAAATCTCCTGAATTTCCTGAATCATCAGCGGAAGAACATTAAAATGGAACTTCGTTTTTTATGTAGGAGTTATTATCCAAAACTTCATTTAATTTAATTTGATTCAGTTAACTTTACAATTGCCACACGTCACAGAATTAAGAATAATAGAAAGTTTGCAGTCTATAGCTACGGCAGGATAAGACTTGTGTTCTTTGCTTATAAATTCTCAGTAAATTGTAACTCAGACAAGTTATAAAAAACACCCATCCATAAGAGATTTCTGGGAAGAGATGACAAGAGCACATACAGCTTTACGATCTACAGTTATGATCTTACCGTCCCCAGTTTCAGCGCAGAGTTGCAAGCCCAGATTGTTCTGTGGATTAATCACCCAGTGATTGCTGGTCACAGTAATGTCAAACACAAACCAGCCCACATCAGAAGCTTGAGCCTTTCTCGTATCTAACAGGAACAAGTCTGCATCCCTGTTAAAGAATATAGAGTTAAGGTTTTCAAATATCATTATTTTTTTTTGTCCTTAATTTCCTTGCTGACAGTAACTTCCTGGAGTACAAATGAATAATCCTTTGACATGCTCAGTAAGTTTAAAGGTCTTTTTCAACCTAAAAGATTCTCTGGTTCTAAGATTCTATGACATACCCTCACTACACAGTACAACATGTGCTGAAGCTAACATGTAATTGGTAAGTACAATACAGGTATTTCCCATGAGAGGTCTTTCTGAAATGAGTCACAGCATGTAAAAACTACAGCTCTGGAAAATATGAAAAATCCAGCTTCCTGCTATAAATACAAAAAATATTAACTGAGGCTCTGTATAAAGCATTGATCTTTCAGCATTAGAAAGTCTCAGGATGATTAAGGTTTATAAGCCATTCAGTGTAAAAGACAAAAAATGTCAAAATCATGTTCAATTTTCAGCTAAAATTCAAAGGCATAGCATTGCTAAAAAAAAAATCTGTTATTAATAGCATATGACAGCAGCTATATCATGACAAAACTTGAATAGATTACAGTTCAGACTGTTTCATGTTAGTACCGATGTTTAGAAAATAAGTCTCTGTATCAAAGTAGAAATTTTATACCTATTCAATAATACAATTATTACATTTTAACCCTCAGTTGCCCAGTATTTCTGAAATTTGTTCCCATGAAATATTCCAGTAATTCAGAAGGACTGCTCAGGGGAGTTAGTATAATCATGTTACTAAATGTTTAGCATGGATCGTTTATTTGTTCTTTTTCACATATCTCATGACACAATTGGTTCCAGAACCACATCTGTAGTACAAATAATTTACTACAATGACGGCACTAAACCCAAGATACTTAACTCTCATCAGTTTCAGTTTACATGTTTCTACAAAGCAGCATGCATTATTAAAAACTGTTTTCAACATTCAGCTTTTTAAACCTAAATCTAGAGTTATAGAAACCTATTTCTTTTCTGCCATAAATAATAATCAAAACAATAATATACAAGAAAAAGTATTATATTCAAAATTTTGACTGTCCATGTCAACTAAAGACAGACTTGGATTATACAGACCTCAGAATAGCATTGTTACCTTAGAGAGAGAATGAATGTATGCTTAAAGAGGTAAGACAGAAATAATAAGTTTTGCATATAAAAAGTGGTTTCTAATTTATGATTGTCCTGTCACTGTATTTTTATGCTGCTTAATCACAATTGTAGGAAGTTACTGTTTTAGCTACACTAAACACTGTAAATGCACCTAGAAGGTCTGACACTGAAAGAAACTTCTCATGTAGCTCTTAAAACTGTGGTTGTTCAACACTCAGGTACATAAAACCAAATGAGCTACGACAAGCCTATGTTTACTTACATGTGAGAAGTAGCTGCAGAATTGGGTTACAGAGCTCAGAAAATGTAACAGAGTTGGGTTTTGTTTTGTTTGGGTTTTGTTTTAAGAAAATTGAAAGGGCTTTCTTTCAAGTTGTATTTTTCCTTCTGTTAAAGGATAATCTTTTGGTGGCCTCTTACCACTTCCATTCTAGTAGAATTGTGCTAATGACCACACGAGAAGAAAACATATGTTCTCCCTCTGGAGCTAACATGAAAACAGTCTTACAATTCAAAGGAGCCTGACCTGCTATGCTAGTACTGAACAAATTAACAACGTACCACAAGCTCATAAATAGTACTCTCTGGAGTCTTAAATGCCAACTTTTTTCTCTAATAAGCAGTTTTATCAGAACTTTAAAGCTGAAAGGTTTAATTCTGAATGTGACAGTTTTAAAAATGCTTATTTATAAATATTTCTTGCATCTATTAGTAGATTTAATAAAAAACTGCAAAATTGTTTGGAATATAAAATAGTACAGTATCACAGTGTTATAATTTCACATTTGTCTTATCTCTTCCAAGGATACATAATTGTTTTCCCATATAGATACTTTCAGGTCTAGCTTTTACTGAGATGGATACAAAATGATCTCAAAAGCCAGAATGCACGATGTCTCATATGCCAAATCAGAATAATGCACTACTAATAGTGCAGTCCAGAAACCACTATAAAGGACAAGTTTCCCCTGTGGATCTCTTCTTAATGTGACTTTATTAATTTGTACTGTAGCAGAAATTCACACCACAGTGTCTTTGGCATTGATATGTCAATCTTGTTGTCTACCTTCCTAGAAACATAGTGACCTAGCTAAGGCAATAGACTAAAAGAGTCACCTATTGACTCAGCAAATGAAACAAAAATTAGTTGTGAGTACCTAAAGAAAACTAGAACCGATTCTTGAGAATGCATAGTAGAATAAAGAAAATTTCTCCAGTGTTCATGCTTTAGCCCACAGAACTGCAATTTGCTAGAGAAATTCAAACTATTTGTCAGGGAAAAAATATTAAATTCATAACTGATACAAACATGGGGTGAAAACCTGATCCCTGAGGTCAGGATTCCCTGAGTAGCTGGTGTTATTCACCCACATTTTTCATCACATTTTGTGATGTTTTTAATTTTAAAATTCTCCTTTATTCTGTGAAAATAAAATGATCACACTTAAAATAAAAAACAGCTGCAAATTTTGGCTCTAATTTGAAAAAATATTTCTATTTTAAAAAATAGCCTACAGCACATAATAAAAAAGTAAGGCATTATGTCTTAAATAGCCTGAAATGCAACAGTGAACACATTCAGGCAGAATACAGCTGATTGGCTTTGCCTTATTGGAGGCTGTTTATGTTTAGTGATCTCAGTCTGGTCCCAGATGGCCAGTTGTCTACAGCAGAAATGCTACCACAGTCAAGAATTCCACCACAGAGGCTCTGGGCAGAATGTCTAAGAAGCTGTACATCTCCTGGGTCACTTAAGAAAGTAAAGGTGGAATAAACCATCTCATACATATTGAAACCCAGTGAAGTTTTTGACCAGATCAGATCACAATTACTATGTAATAGGCCATCCCCATGATGCTGCTTCACCTCTCGCCTCATTCCAGAAAGCTGCTTTAGTATCTTAATGTCACTTGAGGTTTCCCTAATGTGAGAAGAATCCTTGGGGTCCAGTTAAATTAGTGGCTAGCTGCCACCAGATCATGAACAAGGATTTGGCCTGTTGGACTGTGTTACTTTCGTCATGAGAAAAGATCTGGGTAGGAGTACATTGGCAGGGCTGCATAGGAAAGTTTGCCTTGCCATAAGCTGTGCTTTACATGTTTCCTTAGAACAAATAGAAAATCCCAAAGACTGTATTTTCAACTTCAGCCAAATCCAATACACACACTTCAGTGGCCATGCTATCGCAGAGACAGAAAAATGTCCAAGGCTACAATATAATCCTTAGTTTGCAACTCAGAAACACTAAACCCTGATAACTCCTTGCCTGAAAGCGTAGCATAACCCTGTCAGACACCCATGTTTCCTGTTCAAAGCAAAAAACCTAGTAGTTTTGCTGTAGTACGGCACTAGCAAGGAATGTGGCACATTAGAGAATCACAGAATGGTTTGGGTTGGAAAGGACCTTAAAGATCATCCAGTTCCAGCCCTGCTGTGAGCACAGACACTAGCCCAGGTTGCTCAAAGTCCCTTTCAACTTGGCCTTGAACACTTTCAAGAATGGGACATCCACAGTTACTCTAGGCAACCACCTCTGGCCTCACCACCCTCCTCTTACCCTCACATTCTGCAGTTTCAGCTGCTGAAAGTTTTTTACTTAAAATCTCATGTATGTCTGTAGGGGAAACCTGAGGTGAAAAAGTCAATAATAACACTAATAAGTCTGGGCCCTGAAGAAAAAACTGTAGCTCTATTTAAAAATCCCAAGCTAACAAAAAAAAAAAAAAACCTTGGAAAAAGAAAAAATATTCTTGGGAGCTGTTCTGTCTGGAGGTGTCCAGAAGCCTGTGGGAAAAGCATTTTGTTTCTAATTTGAACCATGAAGAGCTTATGGTCTCCTGTCCTGTTCCACTAAGACATTTGCCTCTATATACTCCATATATGAGACAGACTCAAACTCAACAACAGGAGGGAAACACTTTGTTTATATCCAATGCTTCGGTAGTTCTACTGGTGAAATCAAATGAGTGGCATGTCCCCCTATCTAGCATCATGCTTCCACTAGAAGACATGGGTCTTTTATGTTTATAAATGAAAATATAAAACATTTTTAAATTTATGTCTATGTATTAAAAGAAATCAAGAGCATTTTAATGGTTCCCAGGGACAGCTGTCATTTTAACAAGTGAGATAATATTAAATTGTGATCTTGCTTCAGAGTAGTAAGCAGATATGCTTTCTCTGACAGATAATAGAAACTACCTACTGTGAAAAAAAGCAAATGGGTCAGAAAAACAAGCTTTTCCCATTAGTGCTTTTAAAAAGTCTTAAGTTTTCAGGAGCTTTCATCACCCTACCCTTGGTCTGTGTTCTTTAAAAAGATATGTTTTATTCCTTCTTGCTTCGCTCCTTCCTCCAAGAAGTTTCTTTTAGAACTTATATCAAAAGAATTTTTTGCAAGCTGAAGGCAGAGATTAAAATATCCCACAGTTATCTTCATCCCTAAACTTACCAAGAACACAGAAAGTATTCTGGAAGGAGAGTGCTTTCCCTCCTATTGGTTCTGCTCTGCTGATATAAAATGTTTCCCTGTTTATTGCCATAAATATTTTAATACTTGATGTTCAGAGGTCTCACCTGAAGTTACAAGCTCATCTTTCTGTGGGAAGAAAAGATATTTGAACTCTGGCACAGCCTTCAAGCTAACTGGTGATGGGGCTTTTCTTTCTTTTCTCCAGAATACTTTGCAAGTTTAGACTGCCATTTGCTTTGCTTTTGTTAAACATGCCCAGGATAGAAATGTTTGATCTGTTCCAACATGAAGGAGAGCTTTTGTTTATTTCAAAACAAAACCTTTTCCCCCCACTTTTCTGAGAAAAAACATAAACTAATCTAATTTCAAAACAAAAATGTTGGGTGTATGTAGCTTTTTTTTAAAAAGTACCTTGGAATTGCTACTAGTTTTCAATGGAAATTTCCAGGTATTTTGTTATTTTGCCCAGCAAAATCTAGGTGTTCACTCAGGTCAGTGTTAAGTTGGCAGTGTTAAGTTTACGGTTGGAGTCAACGATGTTAAACATCTTTTCCAATCTAAACTATTCTATGATTTATTTCAATTCTCAGTTATGGTGAGCAGCATGTGTGAAGTACGCATATGTCATCTTAAAGTCAGTCCATGACTTTATCTTTTAATTACATTCTTCAAAATATTAAAGCACATGCACAAAAGCCATACTCCCCAAAAGTAAACAAAATTGAATAATCAATATGCCTTTAAGGAGCTAAACGAATCTTGGCTAATAGTACCTTAAAGTACAAATATATTATTTGCTCAGTGTCAGCAAATAGTGCATTTCCCATATCCAAAAGCTTAAACTGTGCATACAACTCTACCATTTGCTCACTGAGAATGTGAACCTTCAACCCCCCTGTTCATGGGCAGATTATTTGGTGAGATTGGACTGCAACTCTCCATTAAACTGGAATAAATAACATTGAAGGTAAGTTTTATTCTTGCGCAGTATTTGTTGTCATTGCTTAGGAATTAATGCTGTACAAGCCACATTGATAGCAATGATGCCTTGTTGAGGGTATACTTACGATCAGTTATTGTCTCCCTGTTTAAGACAGAAACATGAGATGCTATTCAGCATGTGATATGTTCATGCCAAGAAGTTACCTGTTTGGATACTCTTTGATGATCTGATATATGCTAATCTGAATGGTTTCATTCTCAAAGCGGCTGTTGCTTCGATCTTTGTATATCCGGAATTCAGCTGCTGTCACTGCTTCTCCGTGCGGGATCTGAGTCAGGTCAAAGCGAAATTCTTTGTAGTGCCTTCGCTGGTGGGAGAAGTCCTTGTCACTTTCAACTGTGAGAAAAAGAGTTGAATGTAAATTAAAGAGGTGAAACAAATGCCCATTTCCCATGATTAATGAAGCATTCCCTGTGCTTCAGAGAAAACAAACAGGACAACATAAAAACTGTGCAAATAATAAAACCACAAGCCCAGACATACTTCCAGTTAAAGGAAATTCCACCAGCCCAGTTTCTTCAGTTCAAAAGAAAAATCCCTCAGTGGCTTTTATACAAATTCCAGAAGCTGGAGGGGAAAGAATATCAAAAAAAGGGGCATGTTGTAAAATAACTAGAAATATGGACAAGCTAAAAGCTGTGAAATGATTTAGGACTTCAGTGTAGTCAGAAGCACAGCAGTAGTAATGTCAGAGCCATGGATGACTTTGGAAAACACTAATTGCTGCTAATAACCAGGCAGATGAGAGGAATGCTGCTCATCATCCACTTAATGTAATAAATTCTGAGGTGGTACTATATTGCACTAGGATAATGATATATTTAAGAAGCAGTTACATCATATAAATTAGGACATGTTGTACTCCAATGGCATAAGCGTCATCTTGCCAGTGGTCAGAATAAGGAGCCATGAGTCAGGGCTGAGTGGCTGCAGCACCCCAGCAGCAAAGGGAGCACACTCCTGCCTTGAGAAGTCCCCTCAAACCTGCTGTGGATGGGCAGATGTAGCTCCCACTGCTTCTGACACTGCCATTGTTTAAAATAGAAAAGTTAACATAGTCATTCCCTAGTTCACGATTGCATAGAATTTTAAGGGGAAATAAACAGGGGATTTTAGTTTATTTAGTTTATTAAACCTCCATAAATTAATTATTTAAATTTACAGCTGATCTGAGGCTAATTCCACTGTATGCTGCAGTTCTGACCCTTAACTGGGAGACTTGTGCAAGTGAATATGTGTTTTGATGTGGCAAGGGAAACTAGAGACCACAGTACTGGCTGATTAGTAACCCCATTTTGAGGGATTAATACTTCAGATTTTACGGATGTAGAAAGGGAAATGATCAATGGTTTCCACTGCCACAATGTAACGTATCACTGACCTATGAAGAAGCTGTGCTCTGTGACAAGAAATTCTCACTTCTGGAGAAGTTCTTCCTGCCTTGTCCAATAGCTGTTTTATTTTATTAGTGGTGGGCAAAGCGTAGAACACTCCAAGCTGGGGTTCATTTTGAATAATCAGCTAAACATGTATGACTGCACCCAGCTCCCCTACATGCTCCCTCCTATAAGCCCTGCTCATTTTATTGCATTAACAGTTTGCAAATCTGAGAGAACAATGCCAGTTCTGAGAAAGCACATATTTAAATTGCTAAATGTTACAAGTATAAAAAAAGTGTATGTTATTACAATATTTGTGTACATTTATACTTATATGTTCATGTATATGTGTACAAGCAATTTTGTCTACATACGCAGTGTGTATGTGCTTGTGGGTATGACTATATATATGTATTTGTACATGTGTATTATAATGTGTATGTGGTCTTACAAACTAAAAATGCATTGAAAGAAAAAAAATACATTCTGAGCTTGCCAGTTGAGCTTGTACAGTTACAGACATAATAAGGTGAAAGCTATTGAAGGAAAAGTATCCACATTATTTTCAGAGCAGTAGTTACTAGTTCAGTCACCTGTGGCCATGTAGCTAGCCAGTTACAGTGTACTTCCCTTTCATTCTTTCAAAAATGTAAACTATCCTTGCTTTCACTATCATACATTTTAAAAAAATTTGCCAATATATGTTGCCTTTAAGAACCACCAAAAAAAAAAGAGAAATATATAGGATATAAGAACACTTTATATTCAGTGAAAATGAACTTTCTCCTGGCTGACAAAAGGAAAATTGTCTGCTAACTGTGAGGTTTACTTGACTCAAGTGTCTATTTAGCTTACATGGGTTTGCCATCCTACACTATGTAGAAAAAGTACAGCAGAAAAGAGGCAGAAGCATGTAAACTGGCTGCTCTGTACCTGAAGATGAATGGGCTGCTACTGAAGAGAAACAGGATACAGTCTATTTAGCAGCTCCCCTGCTTGGCTCTAAACTGTGACATACATACGGAGAGCTGTCTTGAGGTTTGGGGCTTGTTTGCTTTTTTTTTTTTTTTTTTTTTTTAATGTCCATGCAAAGCCTTTCATTTTGGAGAGAACTTGGCAGAGATTAGCATATGCAAATGCACTGAACTAGGGAGGATTTTTTTTCTGGTACAAAGAGTCTGCTGCAAGTTTCTAAGGTAACTGAGAATTTTAAAGCTGACATGGAGCAGATAGGTCAATAACCTTCAAATGAAAAAATCTATTAAAAGCTAACCTTTAAAAGCAACCCCTTCTGACAGCTTTGGCTAGTATTTATTTCACAACTATTTACCAACACTCATGGGTAACTAAGCACTACTCACTATGAGTAAGCTTTGGAGAATTAGACACTGAATAAAAGGTTTAAATGCCAGTACTCTCATCCTCTAATTTTTATTTGGGTTTGAGGTTTTCTTTTGTCTAGTTTCTTGCAAGTACATTCTAATTAGTAACATTAGTTTGGAACCAGCAGTTCCCTCCATGTCTGTTATAGTCTGGATAGAAATCTCTACAATGCTTTGTGATAGCACTGGTGGGGTTCTCTCAGGACCATTCACAACTGCTGAAAGAATACTAATAGTTGCTTCCTGATGGGCCCAAAATTAATTATTACAGCTCAAACAGATAGTACTTATCTGTGTTCCCGTGTCTCCCCAAGGAAGAGACAGCACTGCCATTTGAAAGGGACAATAGCTCAAAATTCCCTTGGCCAAGACAGAATTTACAGGCAGGCTGGGACTTGGGAGTGGCAACAGCCTGCAGAAATGAAGGGTTGTAGGAAACAGGCACTAACCACCACAAAAAACTGAACAGGGAGGTCCCACTCTCCACAGTGAAGCCAGAATCTCTAACTGCAAATTTCTGTCAATGTAAAAAACATGAAATCAATTTTTATAAATGTAGAAAAGTTAAGATCTTACATTATAAAGTAGACTGTTAAAAAAAACAGTGATGGTGATGTTACAGTAATGACTAATGGCTAGAATGATAGCCAAGTTATAAAAGAGAAATGTTATTTCATGATTTTGAGTATTTTGATACACAAACACTACACAAGTCTTGATCACTTCTGCATCTAATAAATGCCTTGTCAGGGAAAACTGCAAATGCTCAGCAGGATATGTCTCAGGTCCTTTGTCCTGCTGAAAGAGTATGAAGTGTAAGGGGCACCATGTCTCCAATATTTCATTTCCTATACAAGAACTTTTTAACACTGGCAGCCAAAAAAATACAGGTTAAGATTTTTAAGGATTCAGTTCTTCCAGAGTGTTCTCATGTCATTCCACATCTGCTCAGTTCATCTGCCAAAATTCATCTCTGTAGGACTGATCACAGCATCTAAAAACTGGTAGACCAGAAAAATCCAGCTATTGAAGGAATATAATTTTTTTAGGTAAAAAAATACTCTTCATTTGCTCTCATTGGTCAGGATTCTCAGCATCGTATTTCTAAAATGGTGTTCTTTATACTACCTGAAATTAATATATGCAGCACTATGGTTACGTCAGACAAATCGTGGCTCAAGGGAATATCACAAGCACCTGTGTGTAAAATGGGAAAGAATTATATTTTCCACCAATGTGGCAAACTGATGAAATATTCGTGTTGTAGTAACACTAAGCCCAACTCTAAGAAGAATGAAGGCAAATCTACCTCAAAAACATGCTTTGGAAAAGGAGCTTTTTTACATCAAGAAAAAAAATATCATGCACTATTTTTATTAATGAAAGTGCTTGTCTTCTGGAAAAAAATCCAAAGCACATGTGTGGATTGATAGTATCCTTAGCAACGAGTATTTTACCAATTCAGCTATAAATATCTGATTAACTGTTGACTGAGCTTAAAAAATTAAAAAGTGCTGGCAATAAGTTTAGGTCATAGTGCATGAAGGACTATCAGTCATGCTCTTTCATTAGTGATTAGCTCCCCACTGACATGTGCTTTGCTTTTCCTGAAGAGGTTGGTATGTGGTGACACATAGGGAAAGTGAAAGCTTCTTTGGCAAACCAGGGAACAAACTGAAGATATGTTGTAATAAGCTGATTTTACAGTGTAAGATCCCAGGATCCAAATGGATTTACAAATAGTGAAGCCTCAATAATCAAATTAATGTCACAGTTTAACTACTGAATGGTTTGCCAAGGCAAAACAGAGGGTCTTAACAGACCACACGTAACTATCAGGGACCATTTACACTAATCTCACTGAATTTCACTGTTTGACTCTGAATTCTTTGTATAAGCACTAAGTAAACTAGTCAGTTTTAATCACTTCAAGGTGATAAAGGTTACAGTAAGCTGATACACTACAAATGACAGTCATTTACATCTTGAATATAATGAAATGATAGTTTATCTACAGTGAGCACTTGTGGTTATCTGACAAAAACAGGTCAAAGGTTCCAGGCGTTTTCTTCTGAAATTACTCAGTGCTGCCTCTAATGACTGATAATTGAAAGCAGAGGCTGGAAATATCAAATGTGGTAGGTGACAGATAAGCAACAGATTAATGCAAGTACTATGTTACAGGACACTAAAAGGTCAGAGGCCCTAGGAATTAACTATTGTGCTACTGTGAAAAGACAGACACCAAATAGCTGTTTTCCTCATTCTTGCTCTTCTCTCCAACATTCAAATTCTAGTAACACGTTCTCTTCCACTATTAAACAACTGAAAATAGTTAATTTTTTTACAAAATAAGGCAGCAAATGTTTTGTAGGGCATGTGGATAGTAGAAAATATGTGATCCTAGAGCAGAATTAAGGATTTATGTTTTCTTTTAACAGCTGTTTGAGGTAGGAATATTTTAATGAAGTGCATCAGAGAGAAGTTAAGAAGCACATTCATCAGAACATCACTCTCAGTTGAGGAAACCAGATAACAGATTTTTAAAAATGTGTTTCAAAGCTTTGTAACTTTG